AACAATAAAAAGGCCGTGTGTGTGTGCATGTGTGACTGTGTATTCATTTGTATGTAAACCAACAAATTCCAAAGTAGATCTGATATTCCTGGTCAAATCTTATTTACATTGTTATTTTTTATTTGTTTACTTTTCTTTGATTTGATGTGTTTGAGTGTTACTTTTTTATGTAGAATGATTCAATGATTTTATTTATATTTATATTTATTATCATAGGTGATCCCTTTTGTTGTTATTGTTGTTGTTGGACATTTAAGTCTTGTTTTAATACATTCACTTTGAAAGGAGGTCTATTTAAAAATGAAAGCTACATCATAGAAGTTTAAATGTATCTCAACCAATAAAACGTTGTTTCGAATGTGCTGTTGTCGCATTTTTCATATGAATTTATTGAATGTAATGTATACACAGGGATACTGTAGGCTTCGATAACTCTAAACTGTAGTGACCCTAAACGGAACCTCCAAGTGATGAAAGGATGTAATGACTTTGATCAACCAATCAGATTAGCGCGTAGTAAATGCGCGTAATTTAAAAAAGTCTTTTATGTACGTCAAATTGTTAAAAATAGATATACAGGTTAACTTTTTCGTGTATGTCCCAAAAAAACCTCCTAACTCCTTATCGAAATGTTTAGTGATAGTTCAAAACTATTTCTGTACATAAATTCACCCAGATAACTGTATATCTTGCTATTTCATGACCCATTCCCTGTTATACAGCAATAATAAAACTGAAAAAGGAACCACATGCTAAAGCGCCGTGAGGCAGTTGGTTAGCTATACAGGCACTGTACGTTTCTAAATATCAAACAAGTACTGTAAGATAACATTAGTTAACTAAAGTTCAACTGTAAACAAATACATCGGGAATGAGGAAAATATTTCCAACAAGGTGGGATCATAAGCTCTCTTGTCCAAGTAGTATAAATATTATAAACAGATCAACCTGAAGCGATTTTTGGAACAATTTGTCCATTATAGTTACCAATGTTTATCCCCATCCCGTTAAGCTTGATTTCAATGCTATCAGCTGGTTCCATCCTGTAGCGTGGTTTTTCATCCACTGTTACCTTTCCGTAGCCAAGCGGGATAATGTTCCTTGACAGGGTATCAATAACGAGTGCTATATAATTGGACATATATTCAACACTGGTCACTCAATATGCAAGCAGGATTCATTCAAAGTCAAAAGAAGCCCCCTGAAAATTGGAAGCTTCCGTATACCCTGCATTGCCGAGGCGTTAGTGATCCGGATAGAAAACCCTGACTGATGCACACAGAAGAAACTTCTCCACACCTTCCTACCTTGGGTATAATTCCAAGCTCTACTACTTTGTTAATAATGCTTTTTGAACAAAGTAAGAACTGCAGTTTAAGCAGAATAAAATGGTACCATCTTTTATTTCGTTGCCTTCTCGTCAGCTGCTTACAGGGCAAAGACCTTATTAAACCTATCTGCAAAAACAACTTTAACATACTTGCACAGAGTTCATTTTAAACAAAAATCAATCGATCACTATACGCATACACTAATAATATATGCATATATATATATGCAATATTAAACACTATTCCGAACAATAATAATCATACACAATGAAAACTTTTCGGCATATCGCATTCGGATGAAAAATATCCAGTTACCAGGGCAAAAAAGACTGATAACCGCTTCTTTCTGAATGCATAAGTCGGGTTTCAGGCGCATGATGGAAATGGCTTCAGCAAACTTAAGAAGAATTGAGCTCTTTTGCTTATTGATAATTTTGAACGACTCATGACCCGTGTCGAGGAGATACCTGGCGATGGCACTGTTTAAAGCATTTGTTCCCTTTAGACATAAGCTTTTTGGTACATGTTCAGAAAATCGTAGATATGCCCTTCTTTCTGTCCTTCCAATGTAACTGCTCCCACAGATATATGTAAATTTGTATATGCAGTTGGAGTTAACATGAGAAGGATATCTATCGATTTTTGATTGCACCATTTCAACAACAGTCATTCAAAATGCAAGGGGAATTCATTCAAAGTTATCTACAGAGTCAAAAGAAGCCTCTCGAAAGCGCCAAGCTTCTGTATACTTTGCATTGGTGAGGCATTAGCGGTCTGGCTGGAAAACCCTGGTTTATGTACACAGAACCAACCTCTCCACACCCTCCTTCTACCTTGGATATAATTCGAAGTTCTACTACTTTATGAAAAACAAAATAATTGAGCTAAGAATATCCTTTTCGATAATTTCCCTTCTGACTACAATTATATGCGTATATGTCTACATACATAGAATACTCTAGAACAGTAGTCAATGACAATATTAGTGTTTTTTTTAATAATATCGACCTGTTAAGTAAGATCACGATGGAATTACAGTTCATTGAAGATGCTTAAATAATAATAATATAATAGCAAATAGAATATCAACTAAAATTATGAAAATTCCACAAAAATTGAGGACCATTCAAACCTGGATGGACAATGTCTGAGCTAGCTTCTTTTGGAAGCACAAATTAGGCTTCCCAATATTGATCCCAACTGTCAGCCTCAGCAATATTTAGTAGTCGAACTCTTAAGGCGAAATTTGAGATTTGTTGGAATGCAGTAAATGACTTTGAAAGCCGCCTCATTGACATCAATCTTGTGTTCTGTTGCATCCATAAGATGAGATAGAATAGCTCTACAAACAGATTTTGTTTGTCCTTCACTTAACCACGCAGGGTGATGCAACGATAAACACGCCTAATTGTATGGCCTATGTAACTGGCTCCTCAGGAGCCAACTATTTATTCACTCTTTCTACCTAGTTTCTAATTTATTTTGAGCAATCGTCTCAATACTTCTCCATTAACATCCCTTTTTCTGGGTTTCTTTCATATTACGCAACGCTCGTCAATAAATACCAATCCCCAGCACCCCACCTCTAGTTAGGATTTGATTATTCATCAAATTTTTGAAACACTCTGATGACGTAAACAATAACCCTAACTAATTTTTATTTTTATTTGACACACCTAATTTACAGACACACACACAAACTAATATGTGTTAATGCGTTTGAACATCTAAGAGAATGAATTTGCCGACGAAAAGAGACTCTTCGCTGAACTTTTTGTTCTTATATTAATTTCTGGATGTGTATTTTCCGTGAATTAACAATTATCAAGGACCCTTTGGCAGTTAGACTGTTTCAACCAAAATCTATTTTTACCGTTAATTCAACAAAAAATATGGGAATAATGGTGAAAGTATGCATAAAACTGGCAACATTTTTGGAAAATTATCATTAAAGGCGGTGTAATAGGTTAATAATGATGAGTAATCATCCAAATATTTCAAAAGATATTTTATACTACTGATTTATAATCAGTAGTTCAAGATTTATAAAAAATTAAATTTATCACGTCATACAAACTACCACGAGTGATTTTAATGGCATCAGATTTAATGATTTTTCGCATTTTCAGGTAATTTGAAAACAGCCAAAGGTATTCTAACAATAAAGAAAATTCCAATTCTGTTTGAATTAATGTATGGCGTCAATTTAAACTTGCTCCTTAGGGCGCACCTATAAAAATCATTTAACTGTACAGGTATGACATCCGTGTACGTTACTCTACTCCCTAAATTTATGTAACACTAGAACTCTGTGGTCTGCTAACTTAAATCTGAATTGTAGTCTCTCTACCTGCTATCAAGTGTTTAGATGTAACGGAGATGAGGTAACTCGTTTTACCGCAATGGCAAGGGAACAGCTGCACTCCTCAGGCTCCAGAAAAAAGTGACGTCATTGTTTTAGACATTCGGAGAAAAAAGGTTGCTTCAGTGACACTGCAGCTGCAACTGTCAACTTTGCATGAAAGAATTTCATTAGGACATTGTGAAATAATGGGTATAACGAGTTTTTCTCTCAGACGGATGCGATAAGAATGCAGAATTTCCCTTTTTCAAAAATGGCCGCAAGTGCGACAGAAAATTCGAAGCGTCTTGAGGACGTGTCTGGCTGCCATATCGTAGGTGTAGTTCCCTGTCACACTGCGTTAAGGAAGTGATTATAGGAATACTTAGAGCAGTGGATGTCTAGCTACACCTTTGAGAAGCTGAATTTTGAAGGTCTGTGTTTTACACGATTTTCGAGTCAGCTTTTGTGGGCTATCTCGATTACAATTTTGGCACCAAAAGTCAGTAAGGCCTTCCTCGTAGAAATTTATGCTGGTGAAAGTAAGCCATTTTTCTTCAATTTTGTATCTAGGGATTTATCTCTATTGCTGCACGATAAACTAAGCAACGGTCTCGTCTTCCCAGGTGTAAACAAATGCATTCCTGTTCACTTAGCAACCGTAGTTTGTGGTACACCAGCGAAAGCCAATGTTAAGAGAATTGAGTGGCACAGTAGGGTTATTAGCCGCAGGAAATATATGGTAGTCTGTAAGAAGATGGAAGGTTGGGTGTTATTCAAATATGGGAACTTTTCTCTTGGCGTTAATAATAACTACAACCAATACATCTTTCAAAGCTCTCCAAGTTAACTAGCTTGCTGGACGGTCCCCAGCCAGGGAAAAGAGGAAGAGTTGGGTATGGAGCTTGCAACCCCACGCCACTAAACCTATCTAACCGCCAGAAAAACTTCAACGCCTAGAAAATATATTAATAAAATATAAAAACTTTAAGAAACTACGATCTTATTCTTCTCCCAAATCGGAGTGGCGAAATGATGCAGGCTGGTGTAAATCCTAGGAAGCCAGTCAACCGATGTGTCTTCTCTCGAAGAAAGCAAGAATAAGAATGGATACGTGGAATGTCCACACAATGTACGAGAAGGCTGCCAAGGAAGACAGCGAAATGAGAAGTTATGGCGTAGAAATACTGGGTATTTTCCAAAGCAGATGTAACGTATATAGATCTCTCAAGATTGTAAAAACTAAGGAAGTGCTGGCGTGACATTAGTATAATGGTGACTCGTGTCTTTTTCCTTGAGCCGAATGGAGTAGATATCCATTGTGATTTCAAAGTAACGAACACATGTTTTATTTGGTGGATCACGACCTCGGATTACTGTTCGCTAGTTCAGTATATAATTTAATAATTCCCATTGTAGCATTAAGAACACAATATTCAGTTCAGTATATGCCTCTATATTCATACCCAAGAGTCTGCCACGTGACTGAGCTCAAAATAACTAGGAAGAACACATATGATTGTAGGCAGCTCTGTCTTTGTCTTGCCTCCACCTCAAACTCTCTGGTTGGCCGCAGGTTCTCAGCGACACAGCATGCTATGGTCACTCAAATGTAGTAAGTAGTTGAGGAATTTAGAAGGACAGGACGAGTAACCAAGTAATAAATACATCCTCTTTTGGGTTTGTAAGGCTTTCTTTATTTACTGTATGACGGATGCTCCTCCATTTGTTTGACTGGTGTCAGACTGCTTCACTTGCCTACTACCATGCTTTCGAAAACAAAGTGTTATGAACACCACTAGTCTTCTGTAATATTATGAATTGTTGGCCAGTAATTTCAATAGTATTTTCATGGAAGAGTCGGCTCCTATACATACACTCTAATGAGAGTTCCTATGCATCGTTTTCCTAATTCCTCATGGAGGAATCATTTTCCTGTGATGGAGAATTTAAAATGAGGAATACTGAATTCATTACATCACCATCATGGATATCTACTCCATTCGGCTCAAGGAAAAAGACACGAGTCACCATTATACTAATGTCACGCCAGCGCTTCCTTAGTTTTTACAATCTTGAAAGCGTGTCATAACACTCGTTTTCAACAGCCAGCTGCAGACTATAACCAGGAACGTATTGACCACAAAATATACTGAAAAATGCCAAAGAATTTAGCAGTTGCTGAAGGGTTCAACGGGTATCGTTAAGCACTAGGCAACCAGGTTTTGGTGAGAGCTGTTTGGAAGACGAAATTGTAGGCGCCAACTGGCGCCAATGTTCGCGTCCGAATCGAGGTCACGAGAAAAAACAAGAACAAAGCTTAACCTTGAAAAACTCACCAACCAATCACAGCAGACTTAACGTGTGCAAATACGATTCGCAGATATATCGTCTGACCTTCTAAGAAACGACCACAAAGAGATGACAGAATAACCTTCAGTAGGAAAACAACCAATCAGAAGACATTGCCTCTCCTCTAACAATGACGCTAATAATAATGTACATAAAAATTGAGAAATATCTGTTGATTTTCTCAATGAGCGATCTGTTGCCTGGCTCTTGTCTTCTGTCATCACAAGGTGTATGCAAGTCTATGCGTGAGAATCAGAAGACCAGGTGGAGAGGAATGAGGACTTGTCGGCAGTCGCGGAGCCAGATGAAGTGCTTACGAAAACACCTAGGATTCCATCGAGCGCAAGGCAGAATGTCTGGGGCACTGACATGTATGTTCATTGGCTTGAAATTAACCAATTGTAGTAACGTACACCTATGTCTTTGACCAATGACAACTGAATTTGCTTAATTGCGTTACGAAGAATCTGAAGCAGTCAGTAGTAATACATAAAATGAAAGAATGTTCTTTTGTTGAAATGTTAAAAGAAATATATTCTGTACTTACTGAGGACATCCTAATAATCATTTTCGAAAGAAGTCTTTCACTAGATTGGGATTCATGTAGGAAAAAAGCGGTTGAATTCTCCGTTTGCATTTCCACTGCAGTGAGTCGCTGGCGTGTCTGCCAAACCTCCCTGTCTAAGCATTTATCTTAGTTAGTCACTGCTTCCTTTTATGTTTTTATTGAAAAAAATTAAAGTGGTGTGTATTGAAAAGATCATGCCAAGCTTATTTGTTGTGTAGACTCAAGGAATCCATTTGTTGACTTTCGCCTCTTTTTGTTTTCAGCTGACATGAGTTTTAATGGTTCTTCGTCAAGCCAGACTAAGCCACTGGAAGACAGCAGACCACCACCTTACGTCATACCGTATCATCCAAAGATTTTGAGATTACGTAAGCTTATTTGACAATTGTCTGTTATGATTGTGCGAAAATTAACTCTGACCTGAGGCAACACAAGTCAACATTCCATCGGTGGCTTCAAAAGTACATTCTGGAGTGGAAAGAGCGGTTAGCAGGTAAGCTTATAGTTTCATTTTAATGTACTCAAAACCACTTGCGCATTCCTGTCAAATAGAACCAGAACAAAAAGTAGCTTCAGAAAACATGTGTATTCCCCAAAGCCTTATCGTTCTAGTGTGTGTCTTACAATAGCATAGCATCTTCGCCGCTAGTGAAAGAACATTTTTTGATCGAAATATCGTCTGCAGCTCAGAAATTTGATAGGAGCGAGTTTACTAAACCCCTGACTACTTAGCTCACTTAATTTGACCCCTTCTGAATTCCAACGTAGGTGTCGCACTCTAAGCGAGGTGGACTGCTGGAAAGCAACGACCACTTGAAAGACAAAATACCTCCTTGCATTAATGACAGTTTTTCGACTTTTTCCTAGCCTGTTACATTTTAAGTCATCCAAATCATCCTTTGTGTTACCAAGATGATACAAAAAGTATTTATTAAATTCGTAGGGAACTTTAGGTCTATCTATGGGGATGACAACTTAGTTTACAACGTTCGTGGCTTACTCCACTCATGTGAGGAGGTATGACACCACGGACCCCTTAACAGTTTCTATTGCTCCCCATTTGAGTCTGACATACGTTTCCTGCAGAATCTACTCATAGGTCCCAGTAACATTGCAGTCCAAATAGGTAAACGTCTAGGAGAAAGATTCCTAGTAGAAGACGGTGGAGATAATTACTAAATTATCTGTAATCACGACTGAGCAAACTGCCACTTTCTCTAGTCTTAAAACAAGGTCATTTCCTCCTGACAATTTCTTTCCGGTGGGCAATACATCAGGAGTTATTTGTGAAATCTTAAACGAAAACCAATTTAGATTTCTGCCATTGAGTAGCCAAATGCTTTTTTTAAACAACCATTTGATTCTATGGATATTGGAATGTTTCAGATAGACAACTTAGAGGGTAAAACACGCATTCACTCATTCAGGGAAGTCCGAGCGAAGCAAATTAGTTTAAGTCCTGTGAATTATTCCGTTAATATCACCATTTTACACACTACAAAACTGTCATAACTTCATACTTGCCAAAGAGTTTACATGTCACCACAGTTGACCGATACCAGGATATGACCGAATGGTGAGTTTCATTTCGTTTTCAGTTTCATTAATTATGATGCGCACACGTATTTGTATAAATACATGTTTTGCAAAACTCCCCTTCTTCTTATGTCCATATTTTCGTACCTAATAGTGGTACATTATTTGCAGATGACTATGCAGCCCATGGTTGTCAGGGTCCCTGCCCTGCATAAAATTTTGATTTTTACCGAGGTGTGAGTGATTGTTAGATCAGTGATCATCCCACGGACGTATTCATGTGATGAAGTCATGACACATGCAGAGAATGCACCGGGTTCCATGACTTGTGAGTTCCTTCTGTTGGGATGCTACAGTAACGTGACATTTCATAGTAATGTTCCTTCTCAGATGATTGTGAGGAGGTCGTTGCAATGAAAACTGCTACTGAACTGTTTCACCAATCATTAATTCTGTCGTCATCTGAGGATACAGCGCCTGCAAGCTTGTGAGGGTCAATCGGTAAGTTTTAACTCTTCGCTAATCTTTCCAGTGTTACGAAGCCGGCCAGAAAGGTTTCAGTTGATGTTGCACCTTAAACCACCCATCTCGATTGTCAGTCGACAATGAATTTCAGTTCGACACATCCAGTTTCCAAAAGCCATCTTAGGTGAACACAAATGAAAGCTTTATTACAGTTAGCTAAAGAAATTCCGTTTCTGATTGTCATCTGTCACTTCAACGTCGAAAACCTACAGTCCATCGCCAGTTGACATGTAAGTTCAGTTTCATTTCAGATATTACTTGTAGGTATCCGAGGATTGAACAGACAGGCGCCTGCACATCTGGTTGTTTGGAAGTGTTAAGAGCCGGGCGGCAAGAAAGTCATAATTAGAAACACGTGTTGCTGACATCAAGTCTAATCTGTCGTGGCTCAAAGTGGCCGAGAGCCTAGTAATCTGTCAGTGAATTTTGTTTTCATTGTAGTTTTCACTGGCCATTAACAGTTTCTACCACCAATGCTGATAGACGTAGCACAGTGGAAGCCATCATGTCTTCCATTCATCAGTGGTTCCACAAGAATAGGGAAACGATGACTTTCCTCCTTGGGTTTTCTCACTTTCCTATGTCACTTTTTTCAGATCATTGTCGACCGGAACAGACC